CTCTCTCTGTCTGTGTCTCTCTCTCTCTCTCTCTCTCTCTCTCTCTCTCTCTCTCTCTCTCTCTCTCTCTACCCCTCTCTCTCTCTATATATATATATATCCCTCTCTCTCTGTCTCTCTCTCTCTCTCTGTCTCTCCCTCTCTCCCTCTCTCTCTCCCTCTCTCTCTCTCTCTCTCTCTCTCTCTCTCTCTCTTACAACAGGAGACCGGTGATGCTGTTGCAGTCCGCAGAGACTCCTTTGTAGATAGGCTGTTCGTTAATGTCAGAGTTGCAGACAGGGAAGTATCCGTGTCTCTGTCATCTTGTCCGCTCTCTCGCTCTTGCTTTCTCTATCACGTTGTGTGGAGCATAGAAGATAGCTGATGTTGTAGCAGTCGGCAGAAGAAGACAAAGAAGTGAAGATATGGGATCACTGATGGGCATGCGCAGCCAGAGTGCTTAGGACCGTCGCCCTCCCTGCCAAGTCTTCCACCTACTCAGATTGCCGTCCTCCCTCTCCTCTTCCAGTCCGTTCCTTCTCGCCTCCAGTTCGTCATTCATCTCCCCTTGGCTTGTCGTAAGGAGAAGATTAGCATTGCCCCTTTTGAAAAAAAAAAAAGAAAAAACTTCGATCAGCCGAGATGCATCTGGTGCATAAAGCTGCCCAGATGCCTGTCAAATGTCAAGTAGCGATGGCCCCTTCCCTTTGTGGACCTCCTCCCGCCACTCATCATTCTCTCCATCCTGCCGCCTCTCCTCCCTTTTATCGTTGTCCTTCTCTTTCCTCCTCCTCCCATTCATTCACTTCCTCGCGCCGCTCATCCTCTTTGTCCTTCCCTTCCTCATCCCGCTCCTCCTTTCGCAACTCCCCCTCCCGTTTGTTCTCTTTGCGCAGCAACTCATCACAGTCCTCTTCCCATTCATCAACCTCCAGCTGCCACTTTTTGTCCTCCTCTCTCTGCTCCCCTTGGTCATCACCCTCCTGGTCCCGCCCGTCATGCCAGCCCTCCTTCGGTCACTCTTACCACTCACGCTGCGTCCTCTCCCTCCTCATCGCCCTCTTTCCCCCCCCACTCCTCGTCCCGTTCGTGCCCTCCCTCAGCCCGGGAGGACAGAAGGTGGAGGCACAGCGGGAACCCGGTCATGTCACTCCTCTCCTCCTGTCCCTCCTGCTCCTGCTTCCCCTCCTGTCGCTCATCGTCTTACCCATCCTCCTCGTCACACTCCTTGTTCGTCCCCCTACTCCCACTCCTGGCGCGCATCATCCCGTCTTCCCGGTGGTCGTCTTTCCCCTCACCGGGCTTTTCCTCCTGCCACCCCTCCTCCCCTTCATCATCCTCCCCCCATCTGGTTCAGCGTCTTCTCGGGAGAACGGTGGGGCAGAAGGTGGAGGTGGGGCGGGAGTCTGGTCATCCCGCTCCTCGTGCTTCCCTTCCTCTTCCTCTTGCTCAGCGTCTTACCCGTCCCGCCAGCCTTCCTTTTCTCTTCCCGCTCGTCTTCCTCCCCCTCCTCATTGTGCTCCTCGTGCCGCTCGTCCTGTTCCTCGCACTCCCCTTCTACACCCGATTCTCCTCGTGCCGCTCCTCACAGTTGCTATTTGGCATCTTTCTCCTTCCCGTCAATGCCGTCATCCTCAACCCTCCCTTTTCTTCCCTCTCCTTCCCCATCTGTCGCACTACTCCTTCCACCTCACCCCTCTCCTTCCTCGTCCTGTCGTTCTACTCCATATCGCAATCCTCCTCCAGGCAACTCAACAATGTATCTTCCTGCACACTACGGGAAAATTTGTTGCCAGAAAGAACCCAAAAAAAGAGGACACACCAACCCAAAAGAATGCGCGGGCAAACGTATCGGTCCCGCCCCGGAACGTTAGCAAAACGATGAAAGGGAGGGGGGGGGGAACCCACACCTGCATCCCCGGCACTTCCCACAGCGCGTCAGCTCTCAGTGGTACCACTCGCCATGGAATTTCTGTGGGCTCGTTCGAAGCGTTATGCGGGGCCCGCTTTTCCCTTTATTAGAATTAGGGACAAGTGCCCCCTTCATTCTCTCCAAGAAACACAAGTGCCCTTCTCCTCAATTGGGCCCCCTGGCTCACCTAGACCGGTCGAAATGAAAGCAACTACGCATAACTACAGACGCCCCTCCTCTACGCCTGCTGAATTCGACAAAGGCCTGCGCTCCACAATTCAAAGTTTGTGATCAGACGATACCCCCTCTGCCTGCAGAAGCCCGCAAAGGCCTCTGCTACAGAATGAAAAGATCAGGGATATGGTCCCTACCAGCTAAGACAACCATTTTTCCCACTCAGCAGCAGAGCCCAAGCAAAAGATTTAAAAGAAACCACCTCACACACATGAAGCGATGAACAATGAACACCCAGAGGGCCTCTGTGGCGGTGATTGGCCAGCCCAACAAGGCAGAGGCGGGCCTGTTATCACAGTCTAGCAACTGTCCTTCAAAGAAAGTTGACGACGCTTCTGATTCAGAATTCAAAGATAGAAATGGCAGATGCTGAATCCCTCCATAATTGAGAGACGGTTAACGGGTGCCCAAATATTCGCCGTTTTCATTGGCAATTGCGGTGCGAATTTCATCAAAATTTTAAAAAACAAACGATATGAGACCATAGTGCAAACATCAAAAAAGGAAACCGGCCAAAAAAAACAAAAAAACACTATGAGACCCAAACCCAAAGACAGTGTCCGAGTCAAAATGAAGCGTCCAACGAATTCAACAAAATGCCAACTTTTTCATTATTGATCCAAACATGTCAAAACTGCACACATGACGTACCCTAAAGCACATATATATCACACAAAAAGAAAAACAAAAAAAAAAGCAAAAAATCAGCACAATATGACAGTTTCAGTCGAATTCGGTGCAAAATTCGTCGAAAATAACACCCCTGGTTAACCACGTGTGGTGGGGCAGAGGGGGGGGACGCGTTGACAGACTGAACTGATTTGTATTCGTAGGGACGCTTGTTACATCCTGGGGCATGATACCTGAGACTCTCGCTGAGAGACGAAAAAGAAAAAAGAAAAAAAAGTGGAAAAATATAAAGCAGTTCAAAGCATTGCAAAAAACATTGCAAACCATGGCACTGGCGATGGGAGGCGGGAAAGGAATCTGCAATTACACATGAGAATCTGTCCCACTGCTCCATATAAACACAATTAAAAAATTAACACAAAAGTAGAGAAAAGGAGGAGAAGGGAGAACTCGTATATCAATTCTTCTTTCTTAATATACAGTATTGCATGGAGAGATCCACCTACCCGATTGAATTCTCCACAGCCGCAGACTACACCTTGCGTTGATTATGACTTATGACCCTTTGCAAGCCAGCACAGACCAGGCCCCAGCGACGACGTCTGTCGCCATACCCGGTTCCTTCAATATATGCGGTTACATACACCACCGTGTGACCAGATTGCTGTATAGGCCGTCCCTGAACATGCTAAGTTTCCAGATCAGTAATCAGCAGAGATTATCATGGCATAAACTTCCGCAAAGTAGAAGTTGAAGTTGAATCCATGCTGCACAAGGGGCATGCCATGTCCAGGTCCTCAGCGATATCTATACTGATTATTATATCCTGTTCCCCCTAACTCCACCAACTAAACACAATTGATAATGAGAGATAGTGAAAATAGTTCAAAATACCTCGCCCGCCACATACAGTTCGCAGAAGATCGTCAGTCAAACGCGACATACCGCAGTTCAGGCTTTATCAATGCTGGAATCTCACCTCAGTAGCTCGATCCCGCTTGATCCCTGTTCCATCGTGAAGCACAGAGACGAGACAGTCCAACACAGTGTTCTTCCAAAGATAGCCTCCAAGGTGACTCGTCAGCACAGCATCCCTCTCAGACTGTTGAGGTTTCACCCATCCATCCTCCCGATCGGTGGTACACAACGCAACATAAGTCCTTCCTCCAGCGATGGACCCTCATACAGTCGGGCGACTAAATGACATACACAAATGCATAGCAGTGCTACCCTCCATCATCAGCAATGCATCAATCCTGTATTACTCTTCTTTGTCAGGACACACTTGGTCTCCTTCCTACGTGGGTGATCGCTCCGACGACTTTCTCTCTCAAAAACGACCGCCGTACATCGCACATGCAAAAGAAGTCCTCTTAAATTCCAACAGTCCCTCCTCACTCCCAGGCTCCAAGTAAGAACTGTTGTGTGCCACAAAAAAAAAAGAGGAGCAATGTCGGAAGCTGTACCACTAAAAAAGCACCCTCCAAAAAAGCACCCTCCCCTTAGAAATACATGCCTGTTCTATGAGCTGTTGTCTAACCGACTCCAGCAGACACAAGCAGACAAACAAGGGTTCAGGGTTTAGAGTGTTGGGTTCAGGGTTCGCCTAGCCTGCACTACCGCTGCGCATAGAAAGAACTGTAACCCGACTCCACCCCCCGGACCGAAGGAAATAAAAAGAAAGAAAGAAAGAAAGAAAGAAAGAAAGAAAGAAAGAACGAAAGAAAGAAAGAAAAGAGAGAGAGAACTGTAAGCCTCAGAAAGGAAAAACAGCTTTCTCTTAGGAATGTACATGCCTGCCCCATATAAAGCAGGGAACCCCTCCACAGTGCATTGAGCAACCATGTCCCCTTGAACCGAAAGAATTCTACAGTACCTCTCAGAGAGGCTGAGAGGGCCCTTTTAGTAGGCCTCTTACAGGCCAATTTATGGGCCTTTTACAGGCTGTGAGGGCCCTTTACTGGCCCCACAAAGGACTTTCACAGTAATAGACCTCTTACAGGCCAATTTACGGGCCTTTTACAGGCCATTTATAACTACTCCAGTACCCCAACCACCCACTTAATGCCATGCAGAGAGTGAGAACCCATATACTCTACGTTTCTCTATCGTGCAGGGAGGGTGAAAGGGACTCCCTCATGCAAAGAGCTCGTCTTTCCAGAAGAAGTCAAAGGCATGTTGTGCTGCATCCCAGCTACACAGGTCCTTGTCCCTCCATTCACCCCATAGACATGACACAGAAAACTGTAATGCTTTCCCATGTGCAAGAACGCTGAAATCTCTTTCATACCCTCCCCTGGACACATTGCCATTCTGGCTGAGTTGAACAGTCCTGCCGATAAACATCGCACTGCTCACTGTAAGAAAGGACAGCGATAACTGACAAAAAAGCGGAAAACAAATGATCGGCGCCAATTTGCGCCAACGGATGACAGCGAGCAAGTAGAAAAATGCTGCCCCCGCCCTGCCTTCATCTCTTCCTTCCCCTCAAAAATGTCATGTTCGCCTTTCGTTCCCCCTTTCCGAGGAGGCAAATATTGAAAAAGCGAAAGTACCCTCACGAAGCTGCTTCCCCCCGCAGTTACAAACACACTGATTATACCATGCTGCTCTGTCTCCATCAGGAAGTTGACATCGGCATCGGAGAGACGTGATCAAAAAGCGACTACCAAAACGAGACGAGACTGTGGAACAGAGTGAACGATATGCAGGGAGACATAGCTGTCGAAAAAGCATCGAGTGCATTCAGAAGAATGCACAGAGACCTTAAACAACATGATGCTCATCAGAATACGTAGCATAAATATGAAAATGTGAAATAGAAAAGCAAGAGCAGACACCCTTTCTATCTAATGCTTGGCCTTCAGTACGTGGAGAGTCGTCAGTCACAGAATTTCGCACTGACAACCAACATACGACCAGCAAAGCGCAAAAAGCGAAGAGGCCAACACTGGACAGCACCTCTGTATCATGCAGCTTGTTTTGAATTGCTTGGTGCTATTTGCAGGCGAGCCCACCCATATCACTTCGTAAGCCCACCCAAATCACTCAGTGAGCCCACCCAAATCACTCAGTGAGCCCACCCATATCACTCAGTGAGCCCACCATATCACTCAGTGAGCCCACCATATCACTCAGTGAGCCCACCCATATCCACCTCCTAGTATTTACCTCCCAACAGATCAGGGAAGTCCCTGCCTGTGTCCCTTAACAAGCAGCTCACCAATCTTGCATAATTGTTTATAAGTTTCATAGAGACGCTCAATGGGCCATACTACTCATTATGGTCCTGCCAAAGACCAACTTAAAGAGTCCCGCTACCAGCGCAGACACGACGGTGATAAACACAAAATTGAAAGAAGTTATGACTTGCCGGTGGAAAAGGAACCGACGGACAGTCCCCAGAATGGATAGGGATCCAGGACCATAAGGCCCTGTTTTCTGTTAAAAAAATAAAAATAAAAATAAAAATAAAAATAAAAAATCTAACATAAGGATATACAGCAAAGACAGTAAAACTCACAGGAACAATATCCTTGTCGCTCGATCGCCCGTTTGCGCACTTCCACATGCATTTCTCTTCACAGAACGAGCTCACTGCCACATATCAGCAGAGCCTAGACCATTAACAGGGAATGGGGGGGAGAGAGAGAGAGAGAGAGAGAGAGAGAGAGAGAGAGAGAGAGAGAGAGAGAGCATTTGCAATCAATCAGTCGAAAGGCAACGGAGGATCAAAGAATATAGGACCCAGGATGAGACTCGCATCCCCGCAAATGCTTCCTACACTTTCCAATGCCAGCTTTCACCCAGCTGAGGGTTGATGCAAGGACCGAACAGATCATGACAATCCACATCTTCTCCCCTTAAGCCAAATCTGACAAGCAGAAGATTCAGAGATGCCCTGACTCCTGCCTGCAAACAGACTAACCTAAGAACCCAGCAAAATATGGCACTACCACCCATAGAAGAGGGATGCGAATACATAGCCGACGACAAGGGTCAACAGAAGCTAGCCTTTCAACGGTGTCGAGGACCAACCTCACCCACGCTTGACAGCATCGAGGTAAAGCCGGAGATCAAGAAGCCACGAGATTGGTATCATGAAACAGCAAGACGAAAAGAGCAGGCCCGGGATTGGTATCGATAAACAGTGTCCTAGTACTCTACCAGTACGACATAATTCGGGCAATATGGAGGAAAATTGGATGAACACAAACTTCAAGACCTACGACGTTGAAAGGTCAGAAAAACAAGAGAAAGCCCCAAAAGTACAAATCCGGCAATTCAAAAATGAGACTAGCCCCAGGGCAAAAAGAAAAGAAAAAGAGACGAGCCCCAAAAGTACAAATACTCCGAATCTACCGATTAAAATATGAGACGATTTGGAGATCCCTAGGGGATAGTCTCCAGCACGGAGTTCCTGTAGAACTGGTGAGGACGGCATAGGTTCAGGGATGCAAAAGTCCCTAGAATCTCATCTGCTGTCACAAAAGAGGCAGAAGAGGTGAGAAAACAGTTCACGTTACGCAAAGAGTTGACGCAACCCAAAAGAATAGAAATCAGGAATCTGCCCATGCCACTGCTTCTATCACACAAGACAGCCAACCCTCTAGAGAGCTGGAGGTACCACGGCTTTCGAAATCACTTACTTAGAGAGAGAGAGAGAGAGAGAGAGAGAGAGAGATCCCACTCCGCACCCCTTCGAGACAGCGCCAGCAAATCCAACTGAAGGTCCAAGACGGAGCCAATCAATGACCAGTTACATCAGCATACTTCGAGACGTGCCAGACCACTTACTCCGGCGTCATCAGCACTTTGAAAAGATTTCATGCCATGACATGTCATGAGATGTCATAATATGATGTGTCATTCCGTACCCTGCAAGGCCTTTCGTGTTGGTGATGTGGGTGCCATGTCAGCAATCACTTCATCCACGTGCTCTTCCTCCATAGTGGGTGCTTTGACAGGCACGTATAGTGGTGGACCAGGGTATGCTGAGGAGATTGCAGTATGAGAGGACGTCCTCATGCCTGAAGGTGAATCCGAGTAAGGGGACACTCTGGCCATGACGTGTCATGAGATGTCATGTCGTGCCCTGCAAAGCCTGTCGCATTGGCGGTGTCGATGCCAAGTCAGAAATCACTTCATCCTCCTTTTGCGTTGGTTGTGTAGGTGCCATGTCGGAAATCACTTCATACATGTGCTCCTCCTCTGTAGTCGGTGCTTTGACAGGCATGTATGCTGGTGGACCAGGGGTTGCCGAGAAGATTGCACCGTGAGAGGACGTCCTCATGCCTGAAGGTGGATCCGACTGAGGGGACACTCTGGCTAATGACGCTGTTGACACTGCTGGGGGATGCCGGATCATGTGAGGCTCCGCTGTCATATTTGAATCTTCCACGTCGAATTCTGACATCTCTTCCAGTTCTTGCAGTTCTCGCTCCAGGTCATCCTCATCTAAATCTGCAGTTAGTACTGGGGCTCCCAACGACTCTTGAATCTGGTGCATGGTTTCCGACTGTTCCCTGATCCTGTCCATTGTACCCTCCACATCGTCAATATTATTCTGTCTTTGGATCTGCTTCATGACTTGGGCTCCCTCCCGCAACACATCAATAACATCTGTCGTCGCAGTCGCATTCTCTAACATAATAAGTTGGTCATGGAGTCTCAGCTGGTAGTTAGCAATGTTTTCAGCCTGGGCTTCCCACATCTTCTTCTTCTTCAGACACTGCAAGGCTGCCGGCCTTCTGTTCTGCTGCATAAACACGCGCGCTTTCTCCAACTCATTCCTAATCTTCCCCTGAATCACTGCGTCCTTTTTCTCCAGCAAAGCGAGTGTCTCCGTCAGCTTCTCACGAGAAGCAGTGTTAGCCGACAACGCAGACTTGTCCTGCTTCCGTCTGCGGAAAAGCTTGGCCCAAAACTTATTCATCCCTCATGCGCTGATCTGCAAGGCCCTGATACCCCGAGCGGCGGGCCAGTGAAAGCGCAACAGGTGGCAGAGACATCGTCAGCAAGCAAACAGACATATCAGCTTGGGAGGCAGGACAAGGAGAGGTGCGTGGAGAAGAGAGAGACTTCCAGACAAAAGGAAAGAGAGAGATGAGAGAGGCGGGTGCATGGAAGAAACCACTGACTTGCAAGGAGGTGCAAGAAACTAGGGACACCCATGCATGTATCTGCCAACAATTGCATGTGCAGATCTGTGTGTGTGTGTGTGTGTGTGTGTGTGTGTGTGTGTGTGTGTGAGAGAGAGAGAGAGAGAGAAACAGAAAAAACCTGAGTTTTCAAATTAAACGATGATTAACATTATGAGGATAATAATCAGTTTAGGAAATTGTCTGCACACTATCTTCCAAGTTTTAACCTTGGAAGGTTAATTAGCCTTAAAATGAGACACACACAATGATGCAATATTGCTTTAACACTAATAACCTTACTATTAATTAATTAACAAACACTTAATCAAACCATGACAACAATGTTCGAACATATAGGTTGGATGAATGTTCATCTCAATATTGGCTGAAGGATCGGTCAACATTAACCCAATGTTGCTTTCACTGTTGGTTCAAACGTTGCCAAAATGTTGACGAAATGTTTATGAATTTGTCGCCGCATTGTTGGCATTGGTCCATTAAGGTGTCTGCAACATGGTGTTTTTTTTTCCCAACATTTTTCTCCTCTTCGCGAAAAACACCATGGAAGAGCAGGAGGGGCGCAGGGGCTGCCGGAGTTAGGAGGTCACTCACACCGTGAAACCATCGATAATGCTTGGCAGGGACATTTTGAAGTACCGGCAGCGCTCTGTAGGTGGTTCACATGGTGATCTGTTTTCCTCCTGTTCACATGGTGGTCTGTTTTCCTCCTCAGGCTGCTGTGCCTGTCGTTCGTCAGGCAAGGAAGAAGGGATTCCGACTGCGGTCGCAGTATAGGTGTATGACCAACACCGCATGTGGGACATGCTAGGAGATGATGTGGCGGATGATGGCTTGCACCGAGGATAGCCCACGCAGTAGAGACACATACTTTCTACGACAGCTTCCTGGAAACAATGACGGCACATGGCATGTTGCTGACATGTCATCAGCAAAGAAGGCTGACGTGCGCAATTATTCAAGCACGGCAGATCAAGGCCACAACGGCAAGGTGGGCAAGTAATCAAGGGGGGGGAAGGGGGGGGGGGGGGGGGGGGGGGGGGGAGAGGAAGTACAAGACAACGGATTGCAGTTTTCGTGTCAGAGGCTAGCAGCGAAAATCCCTTCATAGTGTTCGACGCAGAGGCTATGCCGTGCACATGCTAACCGGCCCCGTACTTCCCCCCCCCTTCCCTCTCTCTCACACACACGCAAAACAGAAAAAACAAAACACAAAAACGTTCGTGCCACGTACCCTTCGGCCGGACGGAAGGGTGCGGAAGTGGATATATGATGGAATACTGTTCTTTTCTGACATGCCGGGGGAATAGGAACCGGACTGACGCTCCCCAGAATGGATATGGAGTCAGGGCCATAAGGGCCTGTTTCATTGGGAAAGAAAGAAAAGAGTTCGTGCCACGTGGCGTGCTTTCACCCCCCCACCTCGCAAGCCCCTTCCCCCCGACTTCCCCCTTGCCCTTTTTCCTTTAATCACCATTCGTTCTAATCATGGTATGTATGGTGCCTGATTGATTGATTGATCAATTTTGAATTTTTCATTCGATTGTCTGATTAATTGATTGATCGATTGAAGGGTTGATGGATTGATTGATTGACAGATTGATTGATTGATTGAAGAGAAAAAAATCCCCCGACCTACGTCCTTGTCGTTCCTCTACCCCTCGTCTGTCCTCCCTTGTTTCTCTCAGTTCTCCCCCCTCCACCCCCTAACCTTGCCCGCCCGCCTGTTCCCACCCATCTCGCGCACGGCCCCACTCACCCTACCCCTCGCCGACGGCCCCAATCACCCTACCCCTCGCCGACGGCCCCACTCACCCTACCCCTCGCCGACGGCCCCACTCACCCTACCCCTCGCCGACGGCCCCACCCACCCTACCCGTCATCGTCGTCCCCGTATCCCCCTTTGCTCTCCCCCCTCCCACGCCGTCTTTGTAAAAAAAAAAACGAAGTTAAAAGAACCCTCCCGGACCCTCCGCGACCCCCCCGACCCTCCGCGACCCTCCCCGACCCTCGCCCGACCTTTCTGCTTCTTCTTCTTCTTCGTCCCCCCCCAAATCCTCATCCGGCGCCGCCTCCCAAAAAAAAGAGAAAAAGAAAAAGAATAACCTCCCCGACATCCTTCTTCTTCTTCTTCTCCGTCTCGTACTGTTTACCCCGCCCCTCCTCCTTCCTCCCCCAAATCCACTGTCCCCCTTTTCTCCGCCCTCCCCTCCCGCGCGTCCCTAACCTTGCCCGCCGGCCTTTCCCCCACCCGTCTCCCCCTTCTCGCCCACGCCCCCACTGAACCTACCCTTCGCACACAGTCCCACCCACCCCGCCCGTCATCTGTTTCCTTGCCTCCCCCTTCGCCCTTCCTCCCTCCCACGCCACCTATAATTAAAAAAAATAATTAAAAAAAAACTCCCGGACCCTCCGCCACCCTCCCCGACCCTCGCCCGACCTTGGTCATTTTTTTCATTTTTCAAATTAATCAATCAATCAATCAATCGATCGATTGATTTGACGATCTAATCAACCACTCAATCAATCGATCGACCGATCTAACGATCTAATCAACCGATCTAATCAACCGATCTAACGATCTAATCAATCAATCAACCGATCTAACGATCTAATCAATCAATCAATCAATCAATCAATCAATCTAGCGATCAAACGGAACTAAAGGATCGTTAGATCGATTGATTGACTGATTGATTGATTGATTGATTGATTGATCGATCGATCGATCGATCCTTAGATCGATTGCTTGATTGATGATTACTTCGACCTCCCCCTCCTCGTCTTTCCTCCCCCAAATCCCCCTCCAACGCCGCCTTAAAATAAAAAATAAAAAAACACCTCCCCGATATTCTTCTTTTCCGTCCCCGACCTCTTTCCCCCAACTCCTCCTTCGTCCCCCTAATCCACCGTCCCCTTTTTTTCCGCCTTCCCCGCCCGCCTTTCCCCCCCCTTGTCCCTAAATTTCCTCACCCCGTCTCCCCCTTCTCGTCCACGGCCTCAGTGAACCTACCCTTTGCCCACGGCCCCAACCACTCTACCCGTCATCTTTCTCCCTGTCTTGAAAAAAAAAATAAAAAACTACCGGACCGTCTGCGACCCTCCCCGACCCTCGCCCGACCCTGGGTCTTTCTTTTTCCATTTCTCAAATCGATCAATCAATCAATCAATCAATCAATCAATCAATCAATCAATCATTCTAACGACATCGTCTTTTTCTTCTGCCTCCTGCTCCTCCTCCAACCCAGCTCCTAGTCCTCCGGCCCCTCGACTTATTCTTCTTTCTCATCTACTTCTTCTTCTTCGTCTCCTCCTCCTCCTCCTCCTCCTCCTCCTCCAACCCGCCGTGTCCGTGTCCAGCTCCTCGTCGTCGAACCCTCCTCCTCCTCATAACCTGAAGACCAGGACCTATCAACCCGTTAGCAACGAGCCGCGCACACGACCACTCTAATGTCCGCAAGTCTATCCCTCATGCCCTCATTTTCGTCATCCTTGTTCTCTCTCTCTCTCTCTCTCTCTCTCTCTCCTATTCAACACGCCCATACGCACTCTGTTGACAACGTAATCTTGCCCGATCAGTTTTCTATGGCCCCCTGGTTGTTGGACAGGCATCAAGTTATTGCGTCGCAGGATCCAGATTGCCATCGCAAAGAACACAAGAGGATCTGACGGAGGTGCGGAAAGAAGAGCGCAGGGCATCTGATGGAGACGAGCGCAGACAAAGGGTCTGACGGAAAACAAGAAGACGAGCGCAGACAAAGGGTCAGACGGAAAACAAGCGCAGAAACGGATCCGACGGAGAGGAGCACACAGCAACAAAAGACGTTCGAGCCCGGCCTTCGCAGTCACAGGAAACACAGAGTAATAAAGGCAACAGCGGAGAATAGCAGATAGGAAATCATCAGGCAGCAGACACACAGGCCCAGCCCCCAACCAAAGGACGAGGCTGCTGACTGCTGCTTTCCACTGTATCCAGGGGGGTGGGTGAAAGGGGAGAGGGAACAGACGCAGGTGAGGCCGCCAAGACATCAGATCCTCGGGCGGGGACCCACTGGTGCTGTGTTCACGCTTAGAAAGCATGCACCTGGCTGGGGGGAAACGTCAGATGCATGCTTTCTTAGCATGAACATAACGCCAGTTGAACCTCACGCTTCCTAAACTACACATGACGGTCTAGAAGCCCGGATCTCCGACATGCGGGACGCGCAAGCGCATGCCAACACCTTGCCACTCGCCGAGAATCAAGAAATGGAGAGCAAGTGCGCAGGTGAAGGAAGCAGTTGGAGGGAAGAAGTGTGTGCAGTAGGGGGAGAAATTGAGGAACAGAAGGCGAGAGTGGGGACGGAATAGGCGACCAGATACGAGGAACAAGTTCTCGAGCAGGGTGAGAAATGAGCAGAAGAGGACTCACCTCCAGGGCAAAAAAAGTGTGAGAAAACGAGCACAAGAGGACTCACCACCAGGGCAAAGAAAGTAAGTCGTAGAGGGACAGCGAGGCATCGATGAACAAGAGACTCACCTGCGGGGCAAATAACACAGAATTTGGTGCGTCCGTTTGCCCGCGTCGTGCGCAAGAGAAAAACAACAGAGAGACCACCAGAATGCGCACCAATCGACAGACGGCGACGGCGACAAAGATGGAGATGGAGAGAAGATGGCGGTGGCGATGGCGATGGCGATCCAGGAGCCTCATGGGCATGATCTGAGCAACGGCGATGGAGATGTCACACTCAGCTTCAGGGTCAGGAAGATGACGGAAATGATCATGTATTATGGCTATGGCAGACGCAGCTTCAGCGATCGAGATAGGATGTAGCTCAGGAAAACAATGCAGCCGTGCTGAGAGTTCAACGCGTGCCGATTCCTAGTAGCCATGTCCGTCCGTCTCGTCGTACCGCCATGATGATGCCTATCAACGCCATCGGCTTCCTTCCTGCCGGCTGCTTCCTCGGCCTGCGTACACCAAGCATGCCACCACCTTCTCTTCGTCTTCTTCTTGCCACTCCCGCCAAACCCAGTACCGAAACCGGTCCAAACCGGTCCAGAATAGGGCCTCGTTCCACACCACTTCGCTCCACTTCAAAACAAAAAAAAGGAAAAACGGGGGAACGTGCAGCGCCTACAACCGCCTCCTGACTCTCACTTGCGCCGTTTTGAAGTGCGGCTCAAGTGTGCCCGGAGAGGTGACTTGAAAAAAATCACCTATTGGCCTGGGCCGCACTTGAGCCGCACTTTACGTTTTTGGCAGGCGCCGGGAGAGGCGGGAAGCCTAATCGCGATTAGGGAAGGTGAAACTCAAGTGCAGTGCAGTGTGGAACGAGGAATTTCTCAAGTATTTCTAAAGTGGAGTGGTGTGGAACGAGGCCCATAGGCCAGTGCGCGGGGTGGAGTGTTGCTTCCGTTGACAGCACGGACGGACACAACGACAGTACCCACCGCCCCCTCCCGAAATGATCCCCCTCTTCAGAGACAGGCCCTACATGGCTACAGGTAGGCCTACTGGACTCCCGGTAGGCAGGCCCATCGGGTAGGTAACCCTCTACTGGACCAGATAGAGTGCGGAGCCCGTAGTTTATCTTTTGATGTGGTTGGGGAAGGGTAAAGTAGTGATTATGCTCTGTGGTACCTATCTACAGTCAGCAACTAATTTATGGGACCCAGACCATCCTATCTTGGAGGATCCCCCTCAGACAGCCCCTACTGCAGGTTCCCCAACGATTTCCTCCACCATACTCTGTCTACTAATTGTCTACCGCGTGGGCGTGGGGAACGCAGCCCTAAGGTAGCCAAACCAATGAGACTAAAGCTAACACAGAGAGAGAGAGAGAGAGAGAGAGAGAGAGAGAGAGAGAGAGAGAGAGAGTTTTGTTCCATTTATTATTACGAGTGTGAGAGAGAGAAAGAAATAGAGAGAGAGGGAGGGGAAGGCCTACCAGAGAGAGAGAGAGAGGGGGGGGG